TGCCACTTTTTGGTAATACCAAAAGTTCGATGTCAATATATCACAGGGATACTTGCACAACAATGTTAATTGCAGCACCATTCACTATCGTTATGTTATGGAACCAAGCTAGATGCCCAACAGCCAAGGAATAGATAAAGAGGATATAGTTTATACACACAATAGATTTTTTTCAACATAAAGAGGCATGAAGTTATTTCATTTGCAGGAAAATGTATGCAACTGGAGACAATCTTACTAAGTCTCAGAAATATAGATATCACATTTTCTCTCATTTGTAAATCCTAGACTTTATATATAACAAAACTGTATATGTACCAATAACAATGTTGCTGTACAATGAAATTTACTATTTGTTTATTATGAAAATAAATTATTTTCTTCCAAATAAATGTACAATGCTTCTTAAAGCCTGTATTTAACTATGAGAATAGTGACATGACTCACCAGAGCTTAACCAAATGCCTCATTCCCCTCATCCCAGAAAAATAATCATTAATCTGAATAAAAAACAAATGTTGCTTTGTACCTGCCCCCACGCTCAAACCATTTTAATATGAGGCTTCTGAAAAGATATGTGTGTTTTTTTAATTTGGCCATCAAAGCTTTGTAACTAAATTCTCTGCTATAAGCATATTGACTACATTCACACTTTCATAGACTCTCTACCTTTGGAACCATTGTGAAATACTTATCCAGAAGTTCTTTCTTTTACATTGAAATTTATTTTCCTTTCCTTCTATTTCTTCTTCAGACATATAATGAGTATGAAACTGGATTCTATTTCATTATTTGTGTGGCCTTAAATAGGTCCAATAACAATTTCCTCATTTAGACAACAGGCAGAGATAGAGCTAGCGATAGGTATTATTTTTGGTCCTGTGAATCAAACTCACAAAAAGAGCATGCATGTACTCACTCAATTAGTGCTAAGCCCACCTATGGCTTATTTGTTCAAAAGAGGTAAGCAGAGTTTTTAAAGAATTTTCATATTATATGACAAAGGAAATATTCTAGACATTATTATGCCACTGTGTTCTATAGCCAGAAATGTCAGGAATATTTTCAAAAGTCATAAACACAATCCACATATTATGGATAAGAAGTGACAATTTCAATTATATTCCAAGAAATTGCAGGCTTCCATTACAGGTTTAAAACTAAAGGTTTTGCATAACATGCCAACATTCCCAACATGATTGGGGGTATTTCCCTAGGCCCCACCCTAGATGAAGAGCTAGGGACAATCAATGGCTGCTGAAAGGAAGAATCAATTTTCCCCAAGGACAAGTTCCCTGATACGTTATCCAGTCCCATATGGTCAGCCCTAAACACATGTACATATGAGCAACACTAAATGAACTCTGTGGATTGTATGAACATATGGGAATGTGAAGCAGCAATAATTATAGAAGAAATGGTCATGTATTCAACAGGAAATGGAGCATGAGAAGAGTCAGAGGGAGAAAGAAGGATGGAAATGGTATAGATACAATACTTATGTATGAAAAACCTTAAAATCCAAATTTAAAAACCTAAAATGAACTACTGACAAAGAACCTTGAAATCTGGCAATTAAGCCATGTTTAAAATTTAGTCATCTATTCTCTTTTTTAAATTATTTATTTATAACCACACAACCATTACAACAGCATTGACATATTCAATAACAATTTCCAGAGCTAAGATGCATCTCCTTCAAAATTGGCTGTAAATTTTTATGTTTTCAGTTGAATTAATACAGTTATACAATACTGTACTCAGTATAAACCCTACTTAAATGAGGTTTTAACCTTTAAAAAAATCTCCATTTCACTATTAAAATACACAGTTTCATACAGAAAAATTCATTTTCAATACAATTAACACTAAAATGCACATGGATTTCTAATCTCTATATATCTGATTATTACTAGTCACAGCCGGTTACTTTCTGAGCTCCTTGGCATATCAGCATGGATATGAAGTCATCAGGTAGATTTCAATAGTAATGTTTTTCACAACTAGTAATTATTAAGGAGCAAATTTTTTTTTTTTCGTCTTTTTGAGACAGGGTCTCCCTGTAGCCCCAGCTGTCCTGGAACTCACTATGTAGACCAGGGTGGCCTTGAACTCACAGAGATCCACCTGCCTCTGCCTCCCGAGTGCTGGGATTAAAGGCGTGTGTCACCATGCCCAGCAGGAACAAATTTTTATGCTTTGAAGAATTATATTTTTTAATCATTTTAAAATTTTTTAATAACTATATGACTAGAAAAAGCATTTCACTACACTTTAACATATTCAGTAACACACTCCAGAGCAAGAGTACATCTCTTTCACAAGTGGGTGCAAGTTTCTAGGTTCACAGTTGAATTAACACAGTTATACAATATTGAACTCAGTATAAGCCCTGTAAGATATAAAATTGAGTTTTTAACCTTTAAAAAAGATCTCCATTTCATTTTAGAATATATTGTTCCTTGCAGAAAGACTCGTTTTTTTCTACTAACACTGAGATATTGGCACATGCAATATTATTACTAGACATAATCAGTTGCACTTAGTAGGACCTTTGACTTATCTTCACATAGATGGAACTGGTAAAAGAAAGGAGCCAAGGGGCTCCTCCCAAGCCCATGTGACCCCTGAGGAACAGATGCTCAAACAACCTTAAGAGTAAAAATAAATCAGTTTATCTGGTCCAACTGTATGGTCTTAAACTCCCAAAAGGAAAGTATAACCAAAGATTAAATGGACCAACATAATTTCATAAGAGTCCATATGTATAGCTAAAGGCTACATAACAAGCAACAATGCCAGACAGGCGATACCTTCTTTTGAGTTGTTGGCCAGGGTGGCCAAAGGGATTCCCAGATAGTAACCCAGCATAGAACTGGGAAAATGAACAGCAGACCCCAATCTTATCTAGTTTCTTTTAAGGAGTATGTAGGCAATTAATCCATAAAATCAGGTAATGGATTACAAAATAGTTTCAGAAAAGGAAGAAAGAAATCAATTAGAAATACAGCACACAACCCTGTGAATTTCACTGAATAGAAAAGATATGCAAGAAAAAACTGTTGGCAGTGCTGTCCTTGGGGAGGGAAGGAACGTGGTAGGCGCTTAATCTTTCTTTTAAGGAGTATGTAGGCAATTAATCCATAAAATCAGGTAATGGATTACAAAATAGTTTCAGAAAAGGAAGAAAGAAATCAATTAGAAATACAGCACACAACCCTGTGAATTTCACTGAATAGAAAAGATATGCAAGAAAAAACTGTTGGCAGTGCTGTCCTTGGGGAGGGAAGGAACGTGGTAGGCGCTTAATCTGATATAGCCAATAGACACAGTCTTGGAACTAAGTGAATCTAAGAATTTCTCAAGTCAAAAAAAAAATAGGCACAACTAATTACATTGCATAATATAAAGAGAAAAAGAAATGGCAGAAAGCTTGTCAGCTCTATAGAAACATATCAGAACAGTAAAGAATAAAATACAAGTAAGGGGAAAGATAAAGAAAAAGAATGAAAGATGCAGAAAGCCAGTGGGGGCAGAGCTAAGGGAAACACCATTGGATCAATCAGTTTGTGATTCTCCTCAACGTCCTCTTCACAGCAAGTTTGACATCCTTGTTCCTGAGGCTGTAGATGAGAGGATTCAGCATAGGCACCAAAAAAGTATAAAACACTGAGAAAATTTTCCCCTGGCCCACAGTTTCAGCAGATGGTGGTTTGACATAAGCCAGCAGTCCAGATCCATAGAATAAACTCACAGTTATGATGTGAGAACCACAGGTACCCATGGCTTTGGACCAACCCCTAGCTGATGACATCTGAACGATATTGGAAAGGATCATAGCATATGAGATTAGGATAATGAGGCTAGACAAAGTGATAACTGTACCCACCACAACAAAACTCACAAGTTCATTGACATAGATGCTGCTGCAGGAGAGCTGAAGGAGAGGGAAGATGTCACACATGTAATGGTTGATGATATTGGAATCACAAAAGCTGAGTCTGATCATACACCCAGTGTGGGCCATGGCCCCTGCAAACCCCATCAGGTATGAACCAAACATCAGCATAAAGCATATCCCAGGTGACATAACAGCCTTGTACAGCAGAGGCTGACAGATGGCCACATAGCGATCATAGGCCATAGCTGTCAGCACATAACTCTCGGAGTTAACAAAGAAACAGAAGAAAAACAGCTGAGTCATGCATCCTGTGAAGGAGATGGTGTTCTTCTCTAAAACAAAGCTCATCAGCATTTTGGGAGTAAAGACAAATGAATAACAAAAATCAATGAAGGACAGATTGAAGATAAAAAAGTACATGGGACTATGAAGGTGTGAATTCAAGCAAATGAGACTCATTAAGCTCAAGTTTCCCACCACAGTGGCTGTGTAGTTCACCAAGAACAGGACAAGTAGGGGCAGCTGGAGGTCAGGTCTGTCTGTTAGTCCCATGAGAATAAACTCAGACACTGAAGAGTAATTTTGCATAACCATTTGCTTCATGGGTGACATCTGTAAGAATAAGCACAGAAAGCAGCATCCACAATTAATCCATCTCTCACTCCAAAAGGATAGTGGGATTTATTGGTTTCCCAGGTTGGGTTGAGAGAACTTAGAGCAGAACACAATTCACGTTGACTTCTGAGGAATCCCCATTCCTTTTCCCACCCATGATGCCAGAAAGATGCTGGCAGAACTCCATTTACAGGAAATATAATTCCTTCCCTTTCCTATAGTCTTTACTAAGGATTAAGGCTGAATATAGCAATGTATTAACAGTTTTCCTCAAAACCCAAGGTTTATATAGCTCTAAATTTGAAGGGAAATTGCCAAGACAAAGATTACTTTGTTCTCACCTTTGTTCATCTGGAGACTTCTCTTATATTGGAGTTCATGGTGTCTTCCTCCTCACTGTGCTGAGAAGTCAGTTATTAATAAGGAAGCAGGCAATTGCAATCCATACTGATAATATTTATGACTTGCTATAAGAGTTTCACTGGGTAATATGACATTTTTTTTGCTTAAGAATTTCTCTGGAAGGTTATTTTCTCATACACAGAATAAAATAGCTATCTTACATAAGCCTCTAAAACACTATCGCACTCAAAAAAGAATACCTATTTCAAAGTCAAGTTTTCTGAAAAAATCACTGGAAGTACAGAAAATTATTCTCTTCTTTATGATAGTCTCCCTGTTGGGAGTCCCTTGAAGGTAGAGATTACTAAGTTTACATTTGCTTCCAGTGTCAGAAAGCTAACACTGGATCTTTTGAGATTCAAAATTCTACTCAATTTATAATTTCCCAGCAGGAGTACCTAGTCTCCAGGGCAGGGTTGTGAATGGCCCCCTCTGTTACTCACCTCATTAAGCTCTGCACAGTTCTACAAGAGAATTATCCAGGGACATGCTCACTTGCCATTTGTAGATTTTCTGTGAGAATCAATGGTTGTAGTAATTAACATCAGATCACAGATTTAAAACTCTACGAAAAAGGAGTTCTACAAAGATGTTGAAAGAGTAGGAATAGATCGTCAAGTTGCGAGTCTACATCTAGACCTTTACATTTCTTAATGTTGCATATTTTGACTTCCATGGCCCTTGTTTATGTAAAATTATAGCTGCATATTCTTGTTAATATTTATAGATTCTTAAAAAAGGTTTGATGTTGTGAGGTTGTGGATCAGTGAGTAGAGTTCTTGCTTAGTGTACAAAAGCCAATGGGTTCAATATCAACACTATAAAACAATATTAAAAATATTATAGGAAATAAAAGAGCTATCTCATTTGTGTTTTAGCATAACTAAATGAGATGGTTTACATTTTTATTAGAACTATAATAGACATATGAAAAGGGGCTGATCGGTGCTAATCCTCTTTTTATTTTCCACATGCTCAACTAGATAAATCAAGTGTCTCAGCCTTGGCACATTTAGATAAGTTGTTTTTTGTTTTGTTTTGTTTAAGATGGGATCTCCCTGTAGCCCTAGCTGGCCTGGAAGACAACATGTAAACCAGGCTATCCTCAAAATCATAGAGATCCAATTTGCTTTTGCCCCCAGAGTGCTGGGATTAAAGTCATACAGCACACACCCGGCTACATTTAGATAAGTTTTGTTGTGGTACTGTCCTATATGGTAAACAATAAACACAGCCTTGGCCTCCTTCCTATTCTATGCCTACCACCACACATGTATCAACCGTCGTCAAAAAGATTTGTCTACATATTGTCAAATGTTCCCCTAATGGGGTTCAGAAAACGAGTTGCTGAAGCACTGGAGTTTGGCATGGTATCTATTTTGTACTAAAGAACTTTGATTGGAAGGGTGAGGAGAGAACATTCAAGAACAATAATATAATAACAATAACCCACACCATTCACAAAATTTATTTCAAGACAAGTCATTCACCTGAATACAAAACCTAAAGTCATGATATGCTTATAAAAAGAGAGTAAGGAGGCCATTAGGGAGTCTGCTCAGAGAGACAAAGACTACTCTCAGCCTTAAACAAAGAATCCTCTTCTTGTAGTGAACAGGAATAAATATCCATGACCCTTGAGAATAAAGGACAAGTAAGGACTTGACTCTAGATAAGACATTTACACCATCTCTTTACGGCTCGGCAAACATTGCAGAAGAGGGGATAGGATGAGGATAAGAGCCAAAGGATGAGGGACTGCAAAATACAATCTTCCAAGCAAGACGTGGCCATGGAAACGATGAACTCACAGCAGCTGTGATATTGGCACTAGGCCATCTTAACAGTCCACTGTGGAGGAGGAAGGGTTTCATAAGGCCCTACCATATACTGCTGATCTGCTGGTAACAGATTCTGAGAGAAGGGGAAGAATGATATCCAGTTATGTACCCAACTGGTGAGCCCATGAAGTTCTGATGGTTAGTTCCAAACTCAAGATCACACAGACAACTGTGATTAAACTCTGTGAGACACTAAACAAAAGTGGGACTAGTAAATATGGGGAAAAGAGTTATAGGGAGGAGGAAGAGGGCCTGACAAGGGCAGAAGGTAAAAAGGAGAGGGTAGAGGAGAGGGAGACAGCAGTCAAAATGCATAGTGTACATGTTTGAAACCAGGAAAGAATAATTTTTACTAATAAAGAAGCAGTCCCAGAAAAGAGCAATAAAGTAGCCAGAAAAAGAAAGTAATGAAAATAAAAATGGGAGTATAAATGCAGACTGCATTTTTAATTACAGGCTGTCTTTGTAGAGGCGAATTTATTTTCTGGAATTGTGAGGAATTCTCCTACAAATGTGGGAATGTCAGTCATCCCTCCACACATCCACCAGGAGATCCTAACCCTAGATGGTCTGTCAGGAACTGTCACAGGACATCAGTGAGCAGAAATTTCACTCAAACACAAAGCTAATTATATTTGTTATGCCAAAGCCAAGCTCATCACTTGTTATAGCTGCACAAACTGTTCCTTTGATGTTTCCTTCCATAGCATGTGTTTTTGTCAATTCCAAAGCCATCTTGGCTTAACCTTTTCCTAACCCTGTATCAGCCTCATTCTTGCCCTTCCACATAAACATATGAGAGAGAATCTGTCTGAAGAATAAAAAAGAGTGATACTGCTCCTTCCAGCTGGAGGGAGTGCTCAGAGAGTCTAGACAACAAATAGCATAGTAGAATGGGACATTGGCTTAAGACATGCATTGTTCTAGTAGAAACTCTCATAAGGACATTTTACACAACTTTCAGCTTCTCCCAGAGGTGCACATAAAGCATATATACCTAGAATTTTGAACGCACAATTTTTCCAAATTCAGTTGCTAAGACACTTAAAAATAGCAAAATAAATTCAAAGATGCTAACTTGAAGAAGAGAACTCGCAGCAATATTTATTCCATCACAAAGCTCTTATCTTGAGCACATCTCAAAGGATTACAAGCTTGGGAAATTTCTCATCAAATCCTGAGTCTTCCTGTAATGGACAGCTGTCTGAATCCAGCTGTCTTATGTATAACACTAAATGTGCCTCATAGTGCTTCTACTTAGGAAAATTGTCTAATCTCACTAAAAATGAACTTAATTTCCAATGACAAAAAGTGACAATTTTTTTCTTGTCATTAGAATTACATTGGGCATGGTAGCCTTTAATCCCACTGCTTCGAAGGCAGAGGCGGACAGAGCTCTGTGAGTTTCAGACCAGCCTGCTCTATATAGGAAGTTACAGGTCAGCCAGTGATAGACCTGTCTCAAAAACCAAAAAGTAACAAAATTGAGGGTCTTAAATATATAAAATTAGTTTCCTTGCATGGTTAACTACAACAAAAAGAGAACCCCAGTTTTAAGCCAAACAAATGAAAGTTAGCTTGCAATTCAGCTCAGATAAAGATCACCCACCTTCAAAAAAATAAATCTAAATTTAACAGAGAAACGCTCTGAGCTACAATTCTCCTAAAGCTACTTTGACTTCTTCATCATGGCTGGTGCAGTTTCCGAGCCTACACTTGATTTTGGCCAATAGGCTGAGAAGCAGTTTTCTAGTATTCTATTGGTTAGCACTGGCTCTCTTACTACTGTATTATTCTTGGCCAGGGAATCTTCCATACTGCATCCTGGGAAGCTTCTGTCACACCTTCGTGCATGCCTCCCTGCAAAAAGAAACTTCCAAAAGGTAACTTCTTTACATTTTCCTAATATTACACTGAGAATTCATAAGACAAGCTTCCCTTTTTTCCTACTAACTCCAAACAGAAATTGGAATGTCAGTGAATGGTGTACAAACGTGGGCTCTAATGGACCTTGACTTAGAGTCCATCTTTTTGCTTAAATCACCATACTTATTTTAACCACTTAGTCCAATTAGTGCAGCCCATATGCACATGATATGGGACCATCAATTGGGGTGCAGATAACTTATCAGTGGTCACACCCCTGAAGAAAATTGACTATTCCTCCCCCAGCAGCCATCAATTGCATCATCTAGGGGTAGGCCTTTGGGACTCCTACCCAATCTGTGCTGCTATTGTCAAATGCCTTAATCTTGTTCAGGTCTTGCATTAAAGTCTTGCCAATCTGAACAGCCAGAAGAATCATACCAAAGCTAGAGGGTGTCAGATTGCATTAAACATCTTATAATCTTTCTGTTCCCAATCTCCAGAGGAAGTAATGGTGAAACAAATGCTCATCCAAATAAAATAATAATAATAATAATAATAATAATAATAATAATAATAATAATAA